CCCCGCTCTCTCTCTTTTTTAAAATAAAATCACCGGCATTTGTGAGATCTGACTCACCCTGCGTGCCCCACATTGCCTCATGGAGTCTATCTCAAAGCCGCTGGAGACAGAGAAAGCTCTGTCGGCACCGTTGCCCATGGAACGCAAGCGTCTTGTGTATGACTCTCAGGGGCCTACCAAAGAGTACGGCGGCATTTTCGCCCCACTCCTGCGTCTGGAGGCATGGATGGATCACAAGCTGGGTGTTGAGGCCGAGGTCATTGAGCGTAAACGGCCCGAGGATCGCAAGCCTCTAAAATGGTACTATGAACTGGACATGATGTTTCTATGGGCCTCAGGTACGATGAATTTGTCTAGCTTCGCGACGGGTATGCTCGGCTGGCAATTTGGCCTGGACTTGAAGCAGGCGCTCATTTGCGTCTTCTTTGGCCTGCTTATAGGCTGCGCTGTAACGGCATACTGTACGACTTTCGGCGCTGCGACGGGTCTTCGTCAAATGTCCATTTCGCGGTATAGTTTCGGGTGGTTTCCCAGCAAGCTTCCTGCGCTTCTCAATACTATCCAGCAGATTGGTTGGTCGGCTGTAGGGTGCATTACCGGCGGCCTCGCGCTGGTCGGCGTGGCTGATGGCGGGATCTCGGTGATTGTGGGCATCATTATTATTGCTGTGGTATCGCTGTTCATTGGCCTCTTTGGCATACGTGTCATTCTTTCTATTCAGCGATATGCCTGGGTCGTATTCATGATCGTTTTTTTGATTATCATCGGCGAGACAGGCGGGTTTGCTGACAATCACACGCCTGCGAAGGCACAAGGAACAACGCCGCTCGCCGGTGCCGTTCTATCTTTCCTGGCTGTTGTGTATGGCTGGAGTGCGTCGTGGTCGCCCATCGCGTCCGATTATTACATCGTGTACCGTGCAGATATCAATCGCGGGAAGGTGTTTGCCTTCTCGTTTATCGGGCTCCTCCTCCCCACATGCATTAGCATGTGGTCCGGTGCTCTCATAGCCAGCGCACTCAACACGCATCCGGACTGGCTCGCGACATACCAGGACCATGGCCTCGGCTTCCTTCTGCGCGATATGCTGTACCCCACAGGCTTTGCCAAGTTCCTTCTTGTGATGCTCGTGCTGGCCGGCATTAGTCTCAACAGCCTGAGTACGTACAGTGCGCCCATCAGTCTCATGCAGGTGTCGCCCTGGCTGGGGTACGTCCCTCGTGTGTTTTGGCAGGTTATCATGTTTGGCATTGTCATTGCGTTGGGCCTCGCTGGCCGCGAGAGGTTGGACGCCTACCTTGTCAACTTCTTGGACCTGCTCGGTTACTGGTGCACGAGCTACTTTCTGATCCTGATGTTGGAGCATGTTGTGATCCGCAAAGGCAGTTTTGCAAATTACGACTTGGAGGGCTGGAACGATCCGGATCGACTGCCGCACGGCATCGCTGCCATTATCGTATTCTTGGTCGGTGTCGTATGTTGGGTCATGGGCATGGCCGAGACTTGGTACATCGGTCCTCTGGCCCGGCTCTTTGGCCCACACGGCGGCGACGTAGCGAACGAATTCACGCTGGTATTTACGGTCGTCACGTACATACCTCTGCGGTACCTCGAGCGCCGCGTGTTTGGCAAGTAAGCGCGCACGCGGCGCCTACGTCGGTAGGCTCGATTGTCCTTATGAATTCCTTCTTCGGCCTATCTTTACCCATCACTCTACGAATCGTGACCCGCCGCAGCCTTCTGCTTGAGGACTCGGCCCTTGGGGCCCACCGTCTGGCCAAACACAGTCCAAATCAGGTTCATCACGTCCTCCAAGTCGGATCCCAGCACACCTGGCTCGAACGCGACCGAGTTCGACGTGGTCTTCTGGCAGCCTGGCGCCAGCGAGTTGCCGTCCATCTGGGCATCGATGAACTGCACGGCCTTGCCAATACCCAGCACCTCGAGCGTCTCGTGGTCAAGGATCCCGTTGTTGTAGTTGGTGTACTTGATGTTCGCACCGTTCGCACACCACGCATCCACGGTCTTCTCAATGTCGCGCACCGGGATGATCTCGTCGTGTTCGGCGTGGTAGATGAACAGCGGCGCTGTCGGCGTCTCCTCCTTCTTCGCACCCATGATCGACTCGTCAAAGATCTCCTGCACGATGGGGTCCCGGAACACGGCAGCGCCCTTGGTCGTCCAGCCCTCGTCGTTGATGTCTGCGTTCATGTACTTGAGGATGACCTGCACCCAGCAGTTGTTTTGCGCATACTCGATCGCTTCACGACCCTTGGGCAGCAGCACGCTGTCGACATACTTCTTCGCCTTAGGGTACGCGTTGATAATACCAGTAATACCAGCAACGATAAAGCCAGCAAAGGTCGTACCCGACGCATACTCAATGGTGCCAGAGAGGTTCGCCGGCGTGCCACCAAACGTCATACCAACAATGTTCAGCTCCGGCGCATACACGGGGTGCAGACCAGCTGCCCAGCCGAGCGTAAGTGCGCCTCCCGAGTAGCCGTACATGCCGATCTTCGTGTCCTTCGACAGGCCGAGCGGCTCAAAGTTGATGGTCGCACGAGCACTGTCCAGCGTCATGTATCCCTCCATGCGGCCAGCAGCGAACGCAAGGAGCGGGCCTTCTTTGTCCGGCACCGTCATGATGTATCCCTTGCGGAGGAACGGTAGGAATTCAGCCTCGTCCAGCTGGAAGCCTCCACTGTCCTGCGTAATGGCACCACCCAGGTAGCCATACGACGGAGTACACTGCACACCACACGCATCCACAGCCTCCGAGCCGACCATGAGCTTGTCCTTCTTCGCATTGAACGGCACAAGGATGGTCGTCACTGTGTATTGTGGCTCATCCGCGGTGTTTTGGCTGGTGCGGTACATGACTTGGTACGCCTTCTCCACCTTGAAATCGGTAAAGAGGAACTTGGGCTTGATCTCACGCCAAGCCAGGATGTCACCCGGCTTCTTGTGTTGCCAGCCCGGGGGTGGGTTGTAGAACGAGTCCTTATCGGGCGTTAGACCAGGCACGGCGGTAGCCGGAGAGGCCGGCGAAGGCAGCGCTCTGCGTGGGAACGCCAGCGAAGCGACCAAAGTCGGGAGAGTCAAGAAAGCAAGGAGGGCACACCAGAGGCGCGCTTTGCCGATCATAGTCAACGAGCGATGGTGCTTATCATCGGTCGACTTTGTGCGTATTTATGCGGATGGGGCAACAGGAGAATCACATTTGTGGGGAAAGCCAAAAACATCATCTACATGCTGCATCATCGTGTTTGGCGCCTCACAGGATGAGCCGATGCACCTCTATGATCTCCCGAAATACATATGGCCTATCTCATTGCGCCTGGACCCTGCACTTCATATGTGGCATGCATGAGGAAACCAAGGTCGGGTCATCTGATCTGGGGACGTAGTACAGCTTAGCTAAGCATTTCCTACATTTACAGAGCATCACTTGGCTCCCCAATCAATTTGGGTATCACGTTATCCAAGCGAGGTAATGTACCAATTCGGTATGATAACGAGCCGTATGGTAGCCTTTAAATAGTCTAGCCGTCCATTCGACGGTCGGCTATGCGCGAACTACTATCCCTGGTGTGGCTGGCTCTCACGCCTCTAGTGTGGGCCGTGACGTACGATGCGGTGATCGTCGGCGGCGGTCTCTCTGGTCTCTCCGCTGCCAAGGAATTGACGGCACGCAACAAGACATGGGTCGTTCTCGAGGCCCGCGACCGTGTGGGCGGACGCGTGTGGAACAAGGAGCTGCCTGATGGCCGGCCTGTCGAGGTGGGCGCTGAATTCATCGGGCCCACGCAGGACCACGTTATCGCCCTGTCGAAGGAGCTCGGTCTCTCGCTGTACGAGACACCGACCGATGGCGACAACATTTACTATGCCAACAACAAGGCGCAGCGATTCCCTACCCTGTTTGGCTCGCTGGTGCCGCCTGTCGGACTGGCCGACACCCTCAAGTTGGCCGAGCTGCAAGGCGAGATTGATGATATGGCGAAGAAGATCAACCCGCAATCGCCCTGGGACACGCCAGAAGCGTCTACGTGGGACGCCCAGTCCGCCAAGGACTGGCTCAAGAGCAAAGGGTCTTCGCAGCAGGTGCAAGACGTTATCGAAACCACCGTGCAGGAAGTCTTCTCCACCTCGACCGAAAACGTCTCGATGCTGTACATGGCGGTCTACGTCGCGGCCTCGGGCGACGCTGGCCATGTCGGCACGTTTGAGCGTCTGACACAGACCCACCCGGGCGCCCAACAGTACCGCGTGACAGGCGGCACGTACCGCCTCGCCACGGGTCTGCTCGACAAGCTCGGCAAGCCCAACGTCAAGTTCAGCTCGCCGGTCGACTCCATCACCAAGGGCGACGGCTCTAACGCGACGTACACTGTGACGACGCGTGACGGCACATCGTACGAGGGCCAGCATGTCATCGTTGCCATGTCGCCTCCGATGGCCGACAAGATCAAGTTCTCGCCATCGCTGCCTGACAAGCGCCAGCAAGTACAGAAGCTGTGGAAGATGGGCTCGCTAGGCAAGGCCATTCCGCAGTACAAGACAGCCTTCTGGCGCGATGACCACTTGAACGGCCAAGCCATCTCCACCTCAGGCTACACGCGCGCGACGTTCGACAGCACACCAGAGAACAAGGGCCATGGCGTCCTGCTCTGCTTCATCCAAGACGACATGATGCGCAAGCTAGACCAGGTGGACGAGGACACGATCAAGGACAAGATCACACAGGACCTTGTCAACTACTTTGGCGACAAGGCTAAGAACCCCATGGGCTGGGTCATCCAGCGCTGGGACTTGGAGGAATTCTCAGGTGGTGGTCCAACGTCCAACCCACCACTGCATGCCTTTGCCCAGTATGGCGAGGCACTGCGCAAGCCTGTCGGCAACCTGCACTGGGCCGGCACGGAGTCGTCTGATTACTGGATCGGATACATGGACGGCGCCCTTCGTGCCGGCAAACGCGCAGCCCGTGAGATTCACTAGTAGCTACCACTGTTTCTGTTGTTGTGGTAATAGTACCCCACCCCACTCTGTAGTCCTAATCGCTAAGATAATTTGTGTCCCCCTCTAATCATGGAAGCGGAGGTGCGACAGCAAGCTACGGCGGCCGTTCTTCAGCGGGTTGGGAAGCACTTGGCGCTGCACTTTGCCCGGCTCGTACTGCCCCGTAGGTGTCGAGTGGTTCGCGCTGCCTTGACTCGGCACGACGGAGTTCGAGTCGTTGTTCAACTTCTTGCTCACCGACGAGAGGTCAAGCTGCAGGAACGACGACGTAAAGTTCCCGATCCAGGTGTTCTCGTGGTTGCCCATAAACTGCTGCGCAATCGTCGCATTGTTGTCCTTCGAATGCACATACAGGTTCACGTCCACACCGCTGTGGCCATCACTGCTCCAGTCAAGGTGCGCACGCCAGTTGACAATGCCAGCGAGCCAAATAGCGAGCGGTACCCAGTCGTCCACGCTGACCAGCTCCACCGCACGCTTCACTTCGTCATCCGACACGTCTTCAATGCCCAAGTTCTCCTTGATGATCGTGTCACGCATGTACTGCGTCATGTCCGACTCGGTCTTGTTCACAAGGTCCTTCTGCGCCTGGTTCGCTAGGTACTCGGTGCTGTGCTTC